GTTTACGCAAACACTAAACAGCGCTGTGAGATCCAGTGTGAAGCACTTGAATTCAGCGAACAACACAAATGAATTGCTGATTTAAACGAGTTTAAAGGCAGATGAAACAGCGCTGACAAACAGGAGAAACACTGTGTGAAGGCTTTTCAATCTACAAATCGACCATCATTTACTGTAATAACACTAAAAGCACCATGGTATTGTGTCAGAAACATTGGAATTCGTATCGAATTTTATTATATTACTAATGTAGACATGTATTAAATGTATTAAAGGAGTAATAGAATATCATTACAGTATTTTCTGTGATTAAGCTATAGCGTTTGTGCATTTATACTAACTGTAGGCGATTTAGAATACTGGTTTTCATACAATACAGGCAACACAAACCTGTTTATTAATTTGAAACAATATTACTCATTAGAACATGCAGAAACTAAGAAATCAAATTTTCTATTAAGATATTTATTTTGTTAAGGAAAAGTGTAAAGAATTCAAAAACATGAAGTGCTTGTCATGTTCTGACCATAAAGAGTAGTTTAAAACCACAAGTAACTATCTGGTTTCTACAACTTTAAATTTGGAGAAAAATCTGCCTTTAAACCTTAAAAAAAATACAAATTTGACATTTATCGTGATAATTATCGATATCGACTGATATGAAAAAAATTATCATGATAATTTTTTTGGCCATATCGCCCAGCCCTACATGCAACACATGCAGCATATCTGATCCGTCAGGCTTTTCTGTAAATCAGTGAGATCTTTATAACAGTGAAGCAGATACTGACATAAAATGATCTAAATATCAGTGGTCGCTCTATATCTGCAGTAACATGTCTCAGTAAGATGAGAGTGAAATGCTCCAAACATATAATGCAGTGATTGAGAGCTGAAGAAATAAAGGCTCCTCAGAAGATGTGAGATGTTCTGGAGGCTTGTGAAGATCATTCCTCCGCTGAGGAACAGTGAAAGTAAAGCTTCTGGAAACAAACGCTCCTCAAAAGATCCTGAGGATCAGATTTGAGACTCTAAAACATGATTGATGGAGAATCAAGTAAAGCTGAGCTGCTTCAGTCCAGTAAGTGTTCATCTGGAGATATTACTAACAATATCAAAGTTATGAGATTTTTCAGCAAATTTTTGAACATGTTGATCATTCAGAGGTCTTTGTGTATCAAATGTGCTTCAGCAGGCGTTAATGCATTAATGGACGCTGATGTGATCCTCTCAGACTGACCTGTATGCTCATGAACGTAGCAAACCACTCCCTCATTTCATTCTGTGTGTCACAGCAGAGATACCTGAGACAGAAACACATCAAATCACACACAATGTTTTCAGAGGTCAATGTCACACCATATGAACATTATTCACAGAGAATTAAAATGCATACTGACATGTCTGTGTGCGTGTGTGTGTGTGTGTGTGTGTGTGTGAGAGAGTGTGT